GTGGATAAAAATGCCAAATCCAGTCTAAACATCTGGTTGACTGTGTGACCAACAATAATAACAACAACCATCCAATAATTGACCATTAATCAACTAATTAGATTAAGAAGAAACATTAGATGAATCCCACTCAGGTCATACAAAAATCCCTTATGAATTACTTACTGGTATTCCTGATGGCCCTTCTGGCCCTGGGAAGCCAACATCTCCAACAGGGCCTCTTTCACCCTAAAGGAACGATAAAGAAACTCTTCTAGTAAAGCTTCTTTGAAAGCAACCAGAATACTAATACTATTATGGGAGTGCTGAAATCTAAGTGCTCTTACAGGTTCTCCAGGGATTCCTGGTGGCCCTGGAGTGCCATGTTTTCCCTGTGAAAATGAAGAAATAGAAAATCACTTTTTAAAATCAATTATTTAGTCTGCTCTATAATTAAAGCTGTTTTAATGAATGTATTAGATGATACTATCTTACACTTATATTGCCTGAGCAATGAATTCTTCCTTAATTATAAAAGCTTTTGGTTCCATTCCTCTGTATACGAACTACAAATTAGTCACCCTAAATTCAGTGAGACTTACTTCTGAATAGATAAGCATCAGGTTTTTTTTTTTTTTTAAAGAATTATTAGAATTATTTGAAATACCTTGTAGTGGTTAAATCCACTAAAGATACAAACCGTACCCTAAACAGCTTTACAGATGGATGACATAAATTAAAGCTCTAGTTATAAAAATATATGATAAAAGGAGGACTCTAATTTTCCTTTACCACACAGCAGGGGTGAGAAGGCCATGGGTCAGTGGCTGCATGTGTCACTCCTCCAACCCCATCATCCCAAGACCAAGCCAAATCTGGCAGCAAAATTGTCCCATTTCTGTTTTCTACTCCCCCACCTTCAAAGCAGAGTGGGAATGGGAGCATAAAACCTCTGGAAGCTGAACTGCTCCTATTCCTATCCTTACATGTTCCCAAGCTGAGTGAAAAATGGGTAAAGATTTTGGTATCACTCTTTCCAGTGATAACATCACATCACCAGACAACCTCCTGCAGCCCATCAACAAGTCAGAAGGCTGAGTTGTAGCCCAACCCATCTGAAGGTGCCCACTGCAGCAACATTGTGAAGTGGATTATAGATGGAACCAAGAAAATGATAGAAAAGATCAATTCTTCCAGGACAGATTTGTTAATTCTGAATGCAGGTGTGGACTCATTTTTTCATCGTCTTATTCTCATGAAATAATATCTAGCATATAACAAGTCAGGAACAATTCTCCTTAAAATATTGGTTTGCTGTCCAGAGGAAATTTCCTCCAATCAATGCTTAACAATCTCTCAACATGAATGGAGATCATGAGTAAGAAGAAAAAGTCAAGGTTGGTATCAACAGTGCAAATAGTTTGGGTGTAGCTTAGTTCCAAATTCTTTTGGAGCTTTATAGTGAGAAAAGACAGGTAACTTGGGGGGTAATTTATAGTAAGAAATGAGTATATAAGAAAAGATTAGTGATTAGGTATCACAATTTTGATTCTGAATATCCAGCATAGTATTTGACTGGGTTTCAAGGCACATCAAGATACTATTTCCCACTATCTGTACACATTGTTATATAATACACATCCAGTAGACTTTACCACTGTTCTAATTATTGTGATTAGTATTCTTTTCCACAATACGGAAACTTCATTGTTAAGAGCATACTTACAGGTATTCCTGGAACTCCTGGAGGACCTACTGGTCCCCGGTCACCCTAAAAAAGACATACTACATTGCAGTATTTCCAAAAATATGTCTATTCAGAAAATCAAATGTTTGCTAAGAAGGCTTAATGAATTCACTCAGCATTTGGGGAAACAATCCCTCTCATACACTGTATGACCTCCTATATATAAGCACAATCTAAAATAGTCTTTATCCAATTAAAATCAAAGGATCAAGCACATATTGTTCTATCTGGATCCTTCTGCCTCATGACACAATCATAAAGACCAACAAACATCTTGTTACTTAGTATGCTTGATTCTCATTTAAATTCTTGTTTCTGGCAGAAATTCTGCCAGAATTCAGAGAACAGCTGAACAAGGCAACTCACATACATTACTCAGGACACGACACTTTACCTTAAATTATCCAAAAGATCTTCAAGACAAAGAATGAACTTTTTACATGTAGTAGTATGTCACAATTATTTTGGCATATTCAACAGGGAAAGAAATGAAGTTTTCTGACTAATGGACTAACAGCACTGGAGGATTGGAAAAACATGGTAGCTTATAGCCAGTGATAATGACGGTGGTTATAACAATAGCTACATGAGGATATTCAAAAAATTTTATTGTACAGTTAATTCTGATATAATCTCCTTTCAGTAGTTTGTTAACCTCACTGCACAGATAGCACATTCTCTTTTCCTATACTATTATTTCTATTACAGTTAAGACAATTCCAGTTTCCTGCCAACTTGGTCTCTAGAGGACATAATAGAGGAGCTACTAAAATGAAGTCAGTTGGATGCAGATTATTCCTGGAATATATCTGTTAAGAGTCCATTACAGTAGTAACAGAACCTCTACCCTCCGGGCCACTCCTGCCAAAGGCAACCCTTCATTAATTGACAATAAATCAATTATCTGATTTGTTACTCACATTCACCTCATACAGATATAGGCTTGTAGCTGCAGGTAAAGAGGCAACTTCTGTGAACATGGGTGTCCTTTATACCACTTATCAGCTTTTCCTAATCTGGTATTTCCATGCTGGCTAAGAATGAACTGGTTGCTTACTTGTAACTATGGTTTGTTAGTGGTTATCTGGGAATGTGCATATATGGGCATTAATGCTGTGCAGTGCCTTTCTCAGAAATGTCCAGTGCTTAGGAGAATTTTGATGGGACCCTGGTCCTGTGAAATATAAAGGGTGTGTATGTCTGTGTGTGTAGATATAGAAGTAGACGTATAGATGTAGACATATAGATGCTATAGATACATAGATATACCCTGACTGCCACAACACTTCTCAATTCTTTCAACTGCCAGAGCAACCTCTGGTAGCAAAGAAAAAAAGATCCATACAAAGATAGTCAATGATGCATCCATCCTTCCAACTTTTAGACCATCCAATTCCAGAAACAATTCTGGGCAGCTTCACAAAATTGAAAACAGAAACACACACACACACATTTATGAACACATGCTTCATTGATTATAGTAAGGCTTTTGATTGTGCTGATCATGTCAAGCTGTAGAATGTGTTCAGAAAAATGGGAATCCCAGAACAACTCATTGTCCTCATGAGAAATCTATATACAGGTCAGGAAACTGCAGTACAGACAGAACATGGTGAAACAGTCTGGCTCCAGGTTGGCAAAGGCGATATACTTTCCCCTTATTTATTCAAGCTATATGCTGGATATATATTAGTAAGGGAAGCTGGATTGGAAGAAGTTGAGTGTGGTTTTAAAATTGGAGGAAGAAACATCAAAACTCTCTCTTAAGACACAGAGGTTTCTGAAAAGGGTGCTGTGGAGGCACAAATACCCGTATGTATAATTCAAACAGACCACAATGGAGAATTTACCAATTATAGTCTCAAGACATCCAGAGGACAGCGAGGTGGGAAATGATCATAGGAGAAGACACAATAGCAGCTTTTGTGCATGTTTTTGGCATGTACCATTCTGAGTCAAAGCTATTCATTAACAGGTAGAAAATGATCTAACAAGTTGCTCAATAACTATCGCAGACAACATGAAGAGATGATTTGGAAAGATTGGACAAGGTTTACACAGGTTGAGTCTGCATCCTGTAATAAGCAATTGTATGCTTTGTCTTAGCGTGTTGTATGACCTCAGTTAGGGTGGTTTAGAAACCATGATTTATGGCTGGTGCTTTATGAACCCAGCCAACCTTTTTCACAAATCATGGCTAACTAAACCATGACTTAATGAATAAATATAAAAATAAATGTAAAATCAAGTATAGTGTTTTCTTCCCCTGCCCTTAAAAGACAATGATCTATCTGAATTTACAGTACATTCCATTTGGATTCACGGGCCATGGTCACCAGTGTGGTGCAAAGCAGGTTGCCCAAAAGAAATAGCAGTTATTATCCAAGAAACAGCATCCAACATTTTTGTTGTTGCATGGCAACTTCTTCTTCTACCTTCACCTTATTCGGTGAAACTGCCCCAGCACAAGCAGCCACATCCAATGAGCTTGGTGCTGTCAGCACACTTTTCTGTAAGCAGATAGCAATTTGCCTAAAATATTCGGTCTTGCTGCTGTTGTAAAACTTTAGTTTATATTAGGATTTTACTTCATTACAGAAACATTTCCTTTATGATTTAAATTTGTAAAGAAGATTTGGAAAAGAATGATTGTCAGTGGGTAAATGCAATCCATCTGCCACATGTCTCTACTATTAAAATACTACCTTTTCTCCAGTAAGTCCTTCTAACCCTGGGAGTCCCATTGGGCCTGCTTCACCCTTGAAAAGAAAAAAGACAATTGCTTCAGATTGCAACATCCTAAGTAAATAAAACCAAATGTATTTCACAAGCTGCTAAACATGCTGCTTACTTGGAAATGACCATTTTTGCCCTGCTGAGCATTTTAAGGACTTGAAAGTAAAAAGTGTTTTCAGATTCAAGATTATTTCCTGTATTGTGTCTGGCTGTATTTAGTTATACAGGGGGATAATACTTGTGATTACACACTCTTGCACAAACGAGGACTAATGGCCATCTTCAGCTTCTTCTAAAAGGAGCCAAGCCACTAAATTGGTGCCCATCATCACAACTGATAAGAGTTAATTCCATAGTTCAACTATATGTGCATAATGTAGTTCCTTTTATTGGCCCAGATTTTGTCTTTTAGCTTTATAGGTAACCCAAATGGTCAATATTGGCTTCTGGTTACTTCAGGAACTCTCCTATCCCTGGCCGGATCCATCTTCATATTATGTTCTCCATGGCCATTTGCTTTCTTTCCCTTGCTGGGACTAACTATCCAGAGGGAGAGGAGAAGGTAAATGGAAACTGATGACCAAACTCATCAGGGCACATTTTACAAATTAGGACACATTTGACACATTACATACCACGGCTCCAGTCTCCCCCTTTGGGCCCTGTAAGAAAATAGGGTACATCATTTATTTATGAGATTGGTATTTTGCCTTCCAATGATTGATTACATGGCCTTTTATCAGAATCAGGAACCTTCTGCTATTGACCAAAGTAGCTCATGAAATATTTTTGCTTTTGATATTTGCTTTTTCTTAGGAACCAACATTCCACAAATGTTCTGATTCTAGAGAAAAATGGTATTTGAAAATAATCTGGGAATTGCCTTTAATTTCCATTTACTGTAATGCTTATATTCCTCAACATCTGCAGTGAATTACTTTGCAAGAAAATAAAGAGAGGTCATTATAGCAGAGGTTTTAAAGCCATCTTATCTTTTATCCCCAAAATGATAAATTAATTCATGTTGACTCCCCTCCATGAATAAAATTCACGGATCCATTGGAGTTAGGGTTGGGCAAGAAATACATATACCTATTACTTTTAATAATGAAATTTTAATGTATATGTCAAATAAAACAACAATGGATCCTTGTATCTTTATAAAATAAAATGCTCTCTTTGGAAATAAACAATAACCAAATTTAAAAGCCCGTTTTTAAATTGAAAGAATGAGCTTAGTTAGTTTTGTATAATTCTTGAAATCTGGATTTTATTTTTGAGACAACCGCTTTTATTTCTCATTTCACTTTGGACCAGTGTTTGCTCTTTCTAGGAGCAGCTGTAGAAACTTGGACAAATAGGTTCTTGCAAATGGAATCAAGATTCCAATCTTCTGATATAATTCGCTGTAATCATTGTGCACATTGATCCAAAATTCAGGGAGAGAATCTGACAGGAATCTTATTTTCAAAGAAATGCCAGAAAAGATATCTATGAATTGCTCCTTCTGGGTAGTAGTGAGTGTTGGCTATCCGTTTAGCAATGTATGGATTCCTTCTCCAGTCAAAATTTTCTATAGCTACATCTGAGAAATGGTTCTTACAGTATAATTTCAGAGAAGATTTAAAATGCAATTCTTCATATGTTATTGCTCTCACTAAATTATTTTAAAATAGAAATGTGTTTACGTTTGCATTTTCCATTTAGTACTTCTACAACTTTCTTAATAAATGACTTTAATGTCTTGAATAATGTTATTATTGCCACTTTGCAGTGAGGTATTCAGTGTTCATTTTCTCAAAAATATTAGCTTCAGTTCAATCTTTATTACAGTCATGAACCAGTACAAAGACATGAGTTTATAAAACAAACATAGTCATACTTAAAA